ACGAGCAAAGCTTTAGGTATCACAAAAACAAATAACCTAAATAGTGCAGTCTATATCTAGGTAGATAGTTAAGTAAATCAAGCAAGCCAGATAAAAGACTGGAAATTCTGTCCAAGCTATTTGAATAATCATGCAAAAGCCATTTTTCGCTCTGTAAATGTTTTCCATACTTAAATCTTGTACCTTCCACATGTGCAACTGAGCCTCATATATCTCTTTTAGTTCTATCAGGCAAATAATCTAATCACCGTATCCCTATCTATCTATCTAAAAATCAAGTATGTCTGTATGTCTGTCTGTCTGTTTGTACAAAGGCTCCTCCATGGCTTGATGGAGATGAACCAAAGTTGGCACGCAGACCTTGCAAACTGTGGAGAGATGCCCAAATCTTGCTCTTCCCTGTAGGCCAGTGGTTCCCAACCTTTTTTTGACCAGGGACCAATCTCCAACATTATTACCAAAAGGGTTACGAATCAGTTTTTGGTCAACTTTAGGTTTGGGTTGGATATTTGGGGTGCTGATTCAGAAAACTGCATTGGATAGACCACATCAGCTCTAGTTTTTGATACAGAACATATGCCATCCAGTAGTCGCCATCTGCTCGTCCACAGAAAACCGTATTTAATAAGCCTTGGTACCATAAGAGTGTTTTACGAGACCAGCCACTCTCGTTGCAGTAGTGTAGTAATGATAAGGCCATGGACCATACTTTAGGTCTTGTGGACCACGGACCATAAGTTGGGTACCACTTCTGTAGGCTAAGGCAAAATCAAGTTACACCAGCCTCTCCTCGCTCCCACTTTTCCTTATAGCAAAACCTAGCATCTTGATGTGCAGAAAATTAAAAGAAATGTTGAGTGAAATGTTCAATTGCTCTCTTCCACTCCAATTCCCTGTGCAGAAGACAATTGTGACCAGATGGGAATGTCATTCATCTTTTTCTGGGCGAAATTCAATAATTTCAGTCTAATGGAATGTTGAGAAGGGAGGAGAGGATTTTTTGAATTTGATAAAAGATTTTTGCCATCTAAGCAGGAGGAGAGAGTGGAGAGTTCAGAGAAAGGTTAAGGAGTGATGTAAATGTATCTCAGGGAGGTGTAAAGTGGAAGCAACCTGGACACATGTTTGGAAAGCAGCACAGAAAGACTTGTTTTGATATGTCCACTCCCTCCTTAAATTTCATCTGCACTTAGGACATTATGTCCTACGTACAGATGAAAGTTCTGACCATCCCTATCCAGATACACGGGGATACACATACCTAAGCGTGTACATATTGACTGTATGAGTTGTTAAGGTTTCGCTCTCCAACTGTTTTCACCTGTTGTCTTTTAAAGTATTAATTCTATATATTATTCAATCATATTTTAGCAATAACTTTGCATTTACTTTTCTTGATGTAAATGTATTTGCTTAAATATTTCTAAGACACTGTGCATCCTAATAATAGTAATAAGAATACCTACACAAAGCAATGATGGATTTGTAGGAATGGTTATGGTGAAGTGCTTCTCAGTATGCAAGAAACAATGTTGGAACCTGTTACCTTAACTGCCATAGCTCAATGCTATGGAATCTTGGGAGTTGTAGTTTTACAAAGTCTTTAGCCTTTTCTGCCTAAAAGCGCTGGTTTCTCACCAAATTACAAATGCCAGGATTTCATGATATTGAACAGCAGCAAAGTGGTGTCAAGCTGCATTAATTCTACAGGGCTAATTCTACACACCCTTTGTCTGAAGAAGAGTTATTGAAGAACTTTAATTGTGGAATTTTATATTGGATCTAATGGAATTATTGTCACCCTGTGGATTCCACTTCATCAGTACCATTTATAATTAGTAATATGTGGCAATCCCTCTCCTATTCAACCTGTAAACAGACCATATGCTGCATTGTTGAAGGCTTTTATGGCCGAAATCACTGGGTTACTGTAGGTTTTTCAGGCTGTATGGCCATGTTCCAGAAGCATTCTCTCCTGACATTTTGCCTGCATCTATGACAGGCATCCTCAGAGGTTGTGAAGTCTCACAACCTTTGAGGATGCCTGCCATAGATGCAGGCAACATGTCAGGACAGAATGCTTCTGGAACATGGCCATACAGCCCGAAAAACTTACAACCCAGACCATATACTGTTTTATCTGTGTTCCCACAACTGCCTGCTTCTGTCATGGGACACTTCACCTGTTCTGTTCCCTAAACTAACCCAAATTTGCCTGCCTACAAATCTGTGTTTTCCATAACTAATTTTTGTCCATGATACTGGATCTTGTAGTCCTAGGCCATCACTTCAGAAACACAGTGATTCCCCCAAGGAACCTGTCAAAAATGCACAATTCTCCTTCTGACACAGATTAAAGCTGCTTAATGCTCACAAAAAATGAAAACAAAACTAGGTTTTTAGGTTACCACCTTCAATGTCAAACAGGGAGTTGCTGCAGACTTCTTGGATCACCATCAAAAGAGACGGTTGACAAAGGAAGGCTTTACAAATGTCGAATGTCTTGTGAAGCGACCATATCTTCTAACATTTCATAGATAAACACTGGACACAAGTGGCCAAGGAACAATAGTGTGTGATCAAGATGGTAAATGTTATGAATGAGGAAAAACACACAAGCTGGAAGAAGCTGTGGTAATCTGCTTTCGTCTGAGCCTATTGGGGAAGGCAAGATTTTGCCTGCTTTTGTGTTCTCGCCCCCACTTGTGGACTTTGAACTCAGTTTGCAGCAACTGCAATAAACTTAGGACAAAGAGGAAAAGTGGGAAAAGAGAATCTGGGGCAGGGATTGCATTGATGCCTGGATTCACCCATGGCTCAATCTAAGTGTGTGAAATAATAATGAAGTTTTACTTCTAGCAAGAGTCCTTAGATGCCCATCACTTTTTTGAACAGTTCAAGTTCTGTCATCGGACTAAGACCTACTCAATGCATAATCCATAATTTCCAACTATTCTGGCATATTTGTTTCCAAATGCACACTTCCAACAATGTTTAACACACACCATTCTCTTCACAATAATAAAACATGTTCTGGTGAGTTTTTAAAATGTATTTTCATTTTGTGCCATGCCTATTTGCTTGTATATCATTCAAGAGAGAGAGAAAATCTGAACCTTACAGCTTCCTCTGCATGACAGGAAATACTGAGATAGGTATATACTACTTTGGATGCATTTAAATAGGATGATCCCTTAAAGGAAATATATTGTGAACAGACTGCCCTCTAGTGGTATCTTAGAAGGGCATATACTGAAGACACTTTTAAAAAAAATCCCCAAAAAATCTACTTGGAAGATCTAGAACAGTGCTGCACAAATGGTGTCTGCCAAGGTGTTTAAGACTTCAGCTCCTGGAATTCCAGACCATTGAACAAGCTGGATAGGACTGGTCTAGAATTAACTAAATCAAACTATAATCTTGGGACCTCATACAGAAGTTATTTCCAAACTCCCCTGATCCATCTTCTGGCCAAAGGACCCCAAACAAAACAAAACCAAAAGAATACACCAATCTATTGCCTTTCCTTACAGCAGGGGTAGGTAACTGCACAGCGTTATGGGAGTAGTTCCCATTTCATTGATTGAGGTATTGCTTTTGGTTTAAACCTAAAAAACTTGCTTTTTTCTTTCTTGGGGGTTTTCAAGAGCAAAGGTTCAGGGAAGTCATAGTCCTCCCTCTATTTTGCATTGGTTAGACCTCATCTGAAACATTGTGTCTAGTTTTGGACACCACAATTCAGGAAGGATATTGACAAGCTGGAGTGTGTCCAGAGAAGGGCGATCAAAATGATCAAATGTTTAGAAGACAATCAATCTGAGGAGCAGCTGAGGGAGATGGGGAGGCTTAGTGTGGAGAAAAGAAGGCTGAGAGGGGACACAGCAGCCAGGTCACAATGAGGAGGGGGTAAGATTGTTTTCTGCTGCTTAGAAGGCTAGGACAACATGGAGCAATAAATTCAAATTGCAGGAAACAGAGTCCATTAGGAAGAACTTCCCGACAGTAAGAGCTGTTCAGCAGATGACCATCTGTCAGGGGAGATTTGACTCTGTGTTCCTGCATTGCAGTCTCTTCCAACTCTTATGACATCTGTCTTCTTTGTTCAAAGATAAACATAATTCAACTCCTGAAGTTGTCCCTTGTAGGACTTTTTTCTAGATCTCAGATAATCATGGCTGCCCTTCCCTGGATACATTCAGCCTTGTTCAACTGTGATGTCCCAAACTGGACACAATATTCCAGGTGAAGTATAACCAAGGGAGAATACAGTTGTACCTTGGGATGCTATATTCCCAAATTATCCCAGGTTAGTTTGAGCCAAGAGTTACTGTGAGTTTTCTGGGCTGCATGACCATGTTCCAGTAGCATTCTCTCCTGATGTTTTGCGCACATCTATGACAGGAATGTTCAGAGGTTGTGAGGTCTATTGGAAATTGGGCAACTGAGGTTTATATATCTGTGGAATGTCCAGGGCGAGAGAAAGAACTCTTGTCTCCTTGAGGCAAGTGTGAATGTTGCAATTGGCCACCTTGATTAGCACTTAATGGCCTTGCAGCTTCAAAGCCTGGCTGGTTGCTGCATAGGGGATTCTGTGTTGGGAGGTGTTAGCTGGCCTTGACTGATTCTTGTCTTACAGCAACTGGTCATGAAAAAACTTCAACAACACATTGAGCCAAGAGTGTTGCACCTTTGGATTTTACTGAGAAAGGTATTTGAAAATAGTGTTTGCACCATTCCCCAATCTGCATTATTTTAAAACTTATCATTATCATGTCTCACAGTATTTCAATTATTATAATATGAGGATGCACTTTTCTCAACAGAACCAAAATTACACCCTTGATTGGACTAGGCTTTCAGTCTTTCTGAGGTTTTGAATGTACTCCCTCTCTTACTGCACCAATCCACCTGTTATTGAGTTTTGAAGGCTTGACACATGCCATTTAAAGCTACCTTTGTCAAAACGTTGTTTCATTTAATACCAAAGAAACAAATGAGAATTGAGTCACACAGTCTTGAGGGTTTATTACGTTTACCAGAAGCTTCCAGGCTAGACTTAGCAATAAAGACATGCTAATATAAGTGAAAAAATCATCTGTAAAGACATTATTTAAAATAAGTTTTAATCTATTCTGGAAAAAAGCATTAACTTTTCTTCTGTGAAAATTATTTTAAAGTCATATACCATTTCGTAAGTGTTGTAATTGGACAAAATTTTCTAAATACTCCTCTTTCTTAGAATTGTTGCAACAAATACAATTTAATAAAGAGTAGAAACTAGGAATTTTATACCTTATACTATTCCAGTATAATAATCCTGTTTGCCTCTGGAGTCTAAGTGGAAAATTCCCATTGTAAATGGAAGTGTGCATTTCACCATTGTATGGAAGCTGTGGTTTAAGGTCTGGAACTGTGTACATTTTCATTTGCACATGCTACCCACAAGGCAATTCACACACCTGTAGATAACAGTTACACAAGGAAACAAGTTCTACATAACAGACTCAAGACACCTACTTTTTGGAGGCAAAAGAAAAAAAGATGGCATTGAAACACATTCATTTATTATAAAACAAAACAGACAGGTTAGATTGAGAAAAGGAAACTGAGCAAGTAGTTTAGATCCTGGAAATAATGTATGAATTTTGGGAACAAAGACAGAAGAACTCTTAATGTGGTATCCTTCTGCTCTACAAATGGGAAGAAGTAGAGAAACAGAGTTTCAAGGTATATGGGTTAGAGCCATCTGTAAGATATAAAAGGGAATGCAGCCGTTAGAATAAATGTAACGGGATATCATAGTTTCGTTCCTTATACCACGTCTGATACCTTGAAGGTTTTTTTAACCAGTTACATAACTACTGTTATACAAGTTGCTATATTAGGCTCTCAGTCCAATAGAAACCTTTTTTGGAAGCAGAACCATTCTATAAAAACAGTTCTACAGACACACAATAGATTTCCGTTTCTTTGCCTTTCCAAGGAACACAGTGTACAAACAGAAGGCTTCCCTCAAGGCTGAACTTCCATTAGAAAAATATCATAGTACTTCTACATTGAAACAGATTTATTTTTGTGCTTGGAGAAGAAAGTTGTTCCTTCCACGTAGAGTTCACCCATTGCTCTTGTGATCTATGCATGAAATGTGGTTGTGTGAACTATTCAAATCACAACTTGGTAGTATTTCCAATATTCAACAGTGATGAACTGCACAAATGTCCATCTATACCAGTGGTTCTCAACCTGTGGGTCTCCAGATGTTTTGGCCTTCAATTCCCAGAAATCCTAACAGCTAGTAAACTGGCTGGCATTTCTGAGAGTTGTAGGCCAAAACACCTGGGGACCCACAGGTTGAGAACCACTGATCTGTACCTTTGTATTAGGTGACCTTTAGAAAAAGTTGGCATACACAAGAGCAAGGCAATTCCTTCTTTTAGAAATGTTTTGTGAACTCTCCCCATATATGTTTAAATATCAGCAATAGTCACAGCATTTAAAAATAAACAGTAAATGAAAGTTTTCTGGCTGTTAATTTCACTGTCCTTCCCCTGAAAGTAAATATACATACTAATCAAGTATAGTTTAATCCTATTCCACTTCTGCAATCCTGACATTATAAGCCTAAGGACATTACTCTCCCATCCCTGCCATTGAATTTTGCACTTTCCCGTGGCTCTATCTAGGAATTTTGCACAAACTCAGAGCCCTCTGAACTCAGCACTTTTATTGCTCCCATTGTACTGTTTTCAAGATGCTATGTTTTATTGTGATATGTTTCTATTTGTTTTTGTTTTGCTTTTATTTTATTGCACTACATTTTAACTCTGTGCTTGTCCCTTTGTAAGCCGGCCCAAGTCCCTTCAGGGAGATAGAGACAGGGTATAAAAATGATGTTGTTGTTGTTAGAACAAGTGTGCTTTAGATTTGTCAAGAGCATAATTTATTCGATGCATGAGCCCAACTGCAAATAGTTATTTTATTTAAAGCAGGGATAGGAACCATGACGTCTTCCAGATGCCCTTGGACCATCCCTAGCATTCATTACCATGATCTACGCTGGCTTAGACTTGCAATCCTCCAGTCTATGGAGGGCTGTATGATCCCCACCATGAGCTTTTTAAAAAGACTGTGATGGTGTATGGTCACTGCTATTTATTAGAATGTATGTGTGTGAGAGAGAGCATGAGAGGGAGGGAGCAGGATGTGTTAGTAGTAGAACTCTGTCATAACTATTGACAATTGTGCTCATCTGTCTACAACTGAAGACATTTTAAGATGCCATTTATTTTTAATCTTTGAGAACAGTCAAAACTTTTTGCCAAAGACAACATGTGTAGATGTCCAAGTCTGTTTTCCAGTTTGTTATGATTATATATATATATATATATATGTCTCACTCTAGAGCAGGGCTTCTTAAACCTTTTCCACTCACCCTTTCTGCCAAACAAATGTTTATATGACCCCAAGTACTGATAATAAATCAGCATTTGCAAGGTATGCTAAACAGGCTGATTTTCATTTTTGTGGAGTACAGCCAAAGCATTTTTACAGAGTTCACTGTAAATACTGCAAGTTGTTTCGAACAGATTTGTGTAAATGGGTGGCGTTCAGAAACCTTTTACTGCTGTCAAATTCATCGTGACCTCAATATTAAGATCAGAAGCCCCCATTTGGAATCGGGAACCACAATTGAAAAAGTGGTGCTCAACAGGAGAACCTATTATGACTTACTGGGAATCCCTCTCCTTTTAGAAGTAGTCGACTGTCTCAGTCTGCTAAATCACTTTGTCATTTAATTTTCAGTGTTTGTTTTTTTACTCCATTAGGTTCAGACTCTACATCATCTAATAGTTTCATAGGTAGAAGAATAAGCCCTATTTACGAGAGCATCTTTGACTACTACACCTTGTATGCTTTTCTTACAATTACTTTCTTGTATTACCCCAGTATATACAACTAAAGCACAACTGCAACATGCCCATTAAGTCTAGAAATTTTAGTAAAAAATTAATTTAAAAACCCTGGGTTGCCTTCTCCATAGGGTACTGTGAGTACAGGACCTTGACTTTTATCAAAAAAGGAACCATCCCCTTCTCTGAGTTGAGTGACAAAAGGCAAGAGATTTGTTCATTCCATGAGAAGGTTAAAGAAGCATCAATCCCCTCTACTCTCTCTGCATGGCACTGCTTTTTGAATGCCTGGGTGGGGAAATGGAGGAGACAGCCAGGGGGAGACAGCCTCCTGAGGCAGCATTGGAGTTTTCCCCTCTCCACAGAATGGCCCTCAGGTTATTCATAGGTTATATACAATCCACAACAATCCACAACTTTAAGCCCCTAAATCAGAATTATATATGAATTCAACTTATACATATATGGTACTTCTAGCTAAAGTATTTTTTCACATATTTTTCTCACTGGTCTAAGAGACAGATTCTAAAATGAGACAAAGTGTAAGAACACTGTGCAGGTAGAGTCAGCCTTGCTGTTGAACCCATCCTCTTTTCAAACACATGCTTTGCATAAGCACCTGGTAAGGAGCCATGACAGCAGTGGAAAAGAACAGAACAGCTGTGCACTGTAAGAGATGCAACTATCTTCTGCACAAAGTTGAGATTGATAAATAGGTCTCACAACATTTTTGTTATACTACATGTCTTACTTCCAAGCCCAGGCATTATCTAGCTTCCATGAAACGATAGAGACAAAATGTATAGATGAGAAAATATGCAACATGTTGACTTACTGGGGACTCTTATCTGGTAGTGATTGAGTACTGTAAGAGCTTCCACTGCATCTGTCTTGCATTCCCACTCCAACAGACCAGAAAGTGTTTTAGCTGAAGCTGTCAGAACAAAAGTTAAAATGTTTTGTCATCTCCACCGGCAGGTTAGGAATTGTTGGGATGTGGGCTGAGGAGTTAAAAGGGCAAAATATTTACTTACGTTTTGGGTCAAATACTTTGTATTTGATAAAAGACAGCACTTCATGATCATCACACAGCTGGAATAATGAAAAATGGGAAACAAGATTACTGAATACTCAATCACTGAAGATTTCACAGTGGTATATGCAAAGTGCACCAGTAAAAATCAGGCTTGCTCCAGATTAAGATAGTATATACCCAGCTTGTTGATTTCTGTACTGGATACACAGCAGAACAAGAGGCAAAACCATCAATTTGTCCCAATTTCTACTGGTTTTTTTTAAAAAAAGTTACACTTATAATAACGTTCAATATAAACAGTATACAAAATAATGCGCATTTTACAAACACTTAGACCCACCATCATCCACAGGCTACTTTTAATATACTGACAAGGCACCAAATCAGTGGAATACAACACCTTCTATTTATTTGTATCCTGCCCCTCCACCCCCCAAATTGTACTCAAAGCAACATTTAATGTATGAAATTAAAATTGACCTTTAAACATCATTATGAAGAAATATGGAATTTTGAAGTACAGGCAGTCCTTGATTTACAAACATCTGACTTACAAGTGACTCATAGTTAAGAATGGTGGTGAGACAACAGGAAGTGACCTTGGAAGGGAAATTTACTCCTGAAAGTTATCATGGGGAAAAGGTGTCTCAACTGAAGCTTTATTACCAATTCTTCTTTCCACAAGAAGCCTATTTTTTCAAAATTCAATTATTACAGGGAAAGAAAGTGAAGTGAAATCTCCTGAACAGGAGCACAGACAGTAAAACAAACACCACAGGGGTGTTAACCCTTCCCTATACTATCCAAAGCATATATAGAGAAGGGGGGGGGGGGTTACGCTTACAAAATGTGCCTGTTCCGATTTGAATACAGATTCAACTTAAGGGTTTGCCTGTACCCATTTAAATTCTTTTCACATTGTTTGTTTTAACATTCTACATAAGACAATGAAACATTTTAGAATTCTATCCAGAGAAAAACTGATAGTCATCTGTAAAGGCACAGCCCCGAACAGTGAAACCTTAAATATACAAGGGTTATCCAGAAAGTAAGGTTACAAAGCACATAGCTCGGACCGCATCTTGGCCTATGAGCCCACGAGGACCTTGAGATCGTCTGGGGAGGCCCTTCTCTCGATTCCGCCTGCCTCACAGGCGCGTCTGGCGGGGACGAGAGAGAGGGCCTTCTCAGTGGTGGCCCCCCGGCTGTGGAACGCCCTCCCTGCTGACATCAGACAGGCGCCCTCTCTCATGGCTTTCCGTAAGAGCCTAAAGACCTGGCTCTTCGAGAAGGCATTTAACTAGTGCCAGACTAATTGACAATGACAATCGGAACGGAATACGGATTATGAGACTGGCAGATCCCTATGTTGTGACGGTGCGGATTAGTTAGTGTAATTTAGATTAAGTGTGTTATATGGTTTGTTGATGTACTCTGTGCTCTTTGTAAACTGTTTTTATATGTTGTACACCGCCGCGAGTCGCCCTAGGGCTGAGAGCGGCGGTCAACAAATGCATTAAATAAATAAATAAATAATAGCTCTCATGGAGAAAGTTGGTATGACTGCCATGTAGCAGGAAGCCAGTGGAAGCAAATGAGCAGTGCCAGTCGCCAATAGCTCATCAACAGGCATTGTGGTGAAGGTTAGAGATGAGTGCCCTCATTTAGTTTCCCTCCAAGTGTGAAGTTCGCAATGCAATACGCTATGTAAATGCTAAGGGTATGAATGCTGATGCGATTCATCACGAGAAAAATTGTAGCATCAGTGTTTTGGGACAGAAAAACGGTTCTGCTCACTGATGTTTTGGAAAGAGGTGAAACAATCAAATGCTGTAAGATATTGTGCGACCACGAAAAAACTTTGCAGAGCCATCCAAAACAAACATTGTGGGATGCTGATGGCAGGAGTTTGTCTCCTTCATGACAATGAACATCTGCACACCACTCATGCAACACAAGAGTTGTTGACTTCATTTTGTTTGAATGTTTTAAGCCACCCCTCTCACAGCCCTGATCTCGTACTCAGTTACTATCAGCTGTTTTCTAAATTGAAAGGAACACCTGGGTGGAAAACACTTTTCTTTGAAAAAGGCAGTGGGAGACTTCTATGACACAGGCATCAAAAACTTGTCGCATGGATGATAAAATGTATTGAACTGAATGGTGATTATGTGGAAAAAGAATGTAATACCTATGCTATAGTCCATATAAGTTTTATTAAAATATATTCATTCTTTGTATTTTAAAAAAATCGTGTGCCTTACTTTCTGGATATCCCTCGTACAGAGCAAATCTTCAAAAGATTCAAGCTTAGGAACTTTACAAGTGCCTGAAATCTACTTTTAAGGACATCAATACAGATTTGATATTTGAACGTTAGATTTCATTTCAAAAACAGTGAAAGTGCAGCTTTTATTCTTACCTTTACAAAAGTCTCCTCAGTCACACACAATGGTACATTATAATAATGCAATACGCAAGATGGTGGCTGGATGATATTCTTGGATGCTTGACCAGCACTAGTAAAGCGATTGTTTTTGCTCATTACAAAGTCTTTATAGCTGCTTGTTCCATCCTCCAGTTCAAATATTTGACTAGGAACAACTGAATGTTGTTTGGACACACTACAATTGAAGAATACATGATGAAGAAAAACTTTGCAGTAAATACACACACACACACACACACACACACACTAAAGCTATTCTCAAAGCAACACAGAACAAAGTAAGAATTCAGATCTGACATGTAATCAATAAACTACTTGGATAAATTCATTCATAAATTTTCATAAGTTATCTGAGGTCAATGAAATATTCAACTATTTACATTAAGGAAATTTGTAATTCCTCTTTGTGAATACAGGTAGCACTCTTCCCCAAAAACTTTAGCCAGCAGCCTTTTTATAGTATATTAGAATGTTTGCATATTAAATGCTGCAACAGAAGTGTTAAAATAAAAGAACATACACATACCAAACATTAAGCCTTTTCCCAAATAATTTGACATTATTAAGATGTGTGACTGCTCTTTCAACAGCATATTCATCACCCATTTCCACTAATGCAGTGCCTGGAATAGTCTTCATAAACTTCACCTGCAACATTTTAAGAAGAGAGACACTATAACTTAAAGAATATGAAAAGAAAGTTTTGGTTGGAAAATACAAGACACTTCTTTGTTAAGTAACTTTTAAAGTTACATTGTCTAGCTATTGTTCTTTCATTTTTACCTTTTCAATATTTCCATACAAGCAGAATAAGTTGAAAACTCTTGAGCAGTTCATCTTTTGGGGATGCAATCCACTAACCATCACCACAGAACCTGAGGGGTTCCCTCCATGCATGTAAGAGGAGGAGGCTTGTGGAAGCGGGTAAGCAACAAGCTCCGGAGTGTCTCGAGATGCCATTCGGTATCGGCTTGGCAATGGCAACAGAGGTCCATGTGTTCCTAAAGACAAAGTATTCCTTAGTTAGCTTCATTTGAACAGTTAACTAATATCACGATTTGAAAGGTTAGTGTTCTATGTTTTGCAATCAGAGGAACATAAATTTGTTCAACAGGAAATGTCTGAATATGTCAGAAGGAGCCCTCATCATAGCTAGAGTCACCTAATGAAAATGTCAAATAATAGCAACAATATGTGCTAATTGTTAATACTTATTAGATAGGGGATTTCTAAGTGGTTGGCAGCAACAGTTAGCATAGATTTGAAAAAAAGTTATCTGTATTTTATCAACTCTTGGATAACCCTATCTCTTCCCTCCAGAAGCAGGGTCAGGAAAATAATATCATACTAGTTTTGCTACAACAGGCTATAGAAATTTAACGTCACCTAAAGCACCAAAATATATACAGACAGGAAAAATAAATTATGCACTCTTCTTCCCACTCCATGCCCTCCAAAAGGATGAGCAGATTTAACATCAAAGCAGGAACTGATATCAGAATAGTCCAACATGCTATTGCAGATTAAACAGGAAGAAAATCTAGATGCTGAAAGCGGGATACAGAGACAGACTCCTGAATAACAAAGCTGTTTAATATAGCCCCAATAAATGGCTATATTATCTGCAGAATCCTAAAGACATGCCTCTTATTACCAATGGCTAGGGAACATAAATGAGAGTGCCATTGTGCCTCGTTAGAGTTGCCACATGCATCTGGGAGGCAACAATGCTGGACGAGTTAGTTTCTGGGGTTCTCGCAATCATCAATTTTGTTGGCTACAGAGATTTGGACCTTCTTTAGTTACATCACTCAAAGCCATCGAACTCACCATAGCCATCATGCCGAAATGATGAGGGATGCTCTCCCAAAATAGCTTGCCTCTGTCGGCCTTTCCCTCTGTCTAAAAGGTGGAAACAGTATTGAACATAAAACAAGACAAAAAGAAGCAACCTTTTCAAAGATACTGCAATCTGATCAGAAAAAAAGTACATTTTCCATTAATGCAATGACAGCTGCCCCACTGAAAGAACACACCAAGAGTTTCATCTAAGCTTGTATCATGTTTTTCAAAGTGGCCAGAAAATATGTTATGTTAAGATATTAAGTTTTGGTCATTTTAAGATAACCATGTAAATTAACTTCCTTTAACAGAAACATATAATTATAGAATACCATCATACCTGCTAGCACAAAAATACTACATTTGAGAAGATTAGACATTTTAAGCCTAAGAAAACTGGATAGTTTCTTAATACCATACACACTATATACAATCCTGTCAAACACTTCTACAACTCTCAGAAAAACAAGGTGTAAATGCAGTACTTTCCAAGGACAGTACCTGAATCAAACTATTAGCTTCAACAGCAACACATTTTCAAAGTGGGCTTCTTTCAAGAAGTTTCAGCATAATCCAACAACAACCTGTATTACATGTTTCATAGTAAGTCAATAGGAAGCATCATATTTACGTGCATACATTATCATATGAACTATTGATAGCAGAGTGATGAGAATACGATACATTGCTACACCTTTAAGATAATACATGACTGTACTTTTAACAATGAAAAGATCTTTCAGCAAATTGGAATTTATACATGAATGTAAAGTTAACCAAGGGGTCAACACTACTGGATGAAAATTGTGTCCAATGAAAAATGTTTAGTTACATTATCTTGATGCATAGAACATTTCTCTTGATAACCAGTATTTAGCTTAACCAGATACTGGTTGCTTTCATGAAACCATCTGAAGTACCAATACATCAGCTGATTGCCAAACAATGAGAAATGCCCAGTCTGCTAAAATTACTGCCATTTAAGAGAGTTCATTTTTGATGACAACGTTTTAAATTTTGCTTTACAAATCTGAGTATTTACTAAGGCAACTGTTCAAACTAAAAAAAACAAACAGATTTGTCTTCTTATAACCATTTGATTGAAGGAAAAGATGTGAAGAGGGGAATTTTTTAGCACTTGATCTTCAACCTTTTTTTTCAAAAACATTATCTAATTTACATATAATATAAAAGATTTCCCAGTAGAATAAATACAATCTTGGTAATAAATGTTAAATGATAAATTAAATTCTTATGAACCAAGTCAGTGCTGTTTCACAAAAGAAAGGCAGCAACAACTATACTTCAAATACTGGGAACCAAGACAAATTCTAAAATCACAATTGTAGGAAATGACTGTACTGAAGGGACTAACTTAGACTTTCAATTTAATGATGAAATATGTTGGTGAACAAGTGCAAAAGAAGAATCACATTTGAGCACGTCCAAAATCTTTTACACAGAACATTTCAGCTGAAGCCAGAATCATGTAAGTTAGGGGGGTTTACTGTACCAGATGAGATGGTTTGAAGAATGCATGTAAGCAGCCTATTACAGGGATACTTTTTATGTAAGCCAACTGTGTGAGCCTGTTAGGATGCCAAGAGCCTTAACAAGTATTCTTAAGTGTATGCTCACCCCCTGTCAATTATTATGCAGCTCACATCATAAAAAGGAAGAGTCTCAAGCATGCTTTCTATTGCTTCATTGAAGTTGCAGCTGCTAGCTGCTTCCATTATACTCTCAACTTCCAGAGCCCAAAAGTATACAATCCTGTTTGAACAAGGTAATATTTGTGTTTCTATTTATTCTTACTTGGGGAAAATATTATACATCTAATAAACAATACTAGTACAAAATATTTTATTTCATTTTCTGTCCTTCTTCAACTCATAACTAGGACTAGCTGCAAATATCCAAGGGAACTTTCAGTGTGTTTTTAAAATAGGAGTTTTCGTACTACTGGAAAAAATCCCTTTATGATACAGTCCTTCTGAAAATACCTCCAAAAGTAACCTGCAATTGGCATTGTTGGATCTGCTGTTCACATAAAAGTCAAAAATTGCCATGCCTTAAGGAAAGGAATCTCATTTCTCATGGTTTCATTTACCTATTGTGGAAACTAAAGTGAATTTCTACCAAGTTTCTTGAATATGTATTAAAAAGTTCAAAACCATAAACACTTAAGTTACCAGACAGATTGAACAAAAATATAACTCTGTAAAACAAATACTGAGGTTTGACAGTCTGCAAACCAATAGTGCTGCCCCCTTATTAACCTTTTACAAACAATTAATTCCACATGTCCATGGCCTAAGTTTTAAATGTACATCTTTTTTACAAGCTGAAGCAACACCAATTAAAATAACAACCTTTAGGCAATAGTTAAAAGGCGAACTGAAACCTTTGTTTTCATGTTCAAAATTTAGAAGATACTCTACCTTGATAAGGCAAGTTCCCAAGTCCATGTTATAAATGCCTAGATTTTCAAAAAGTATATTACAGCAAATTATATACAAGTCATTAAATTACAAGAACAATTCAAAGATATCAGACTATACACTTAAAAAAACCATTTTCATGCAGTTGTTTTACTGATGAAAACTACGTTCCAACTAAGCATTGTAGTTAAAATGTTTGGTAAGTTTTATCTTCCATTGAATCTAGATGCCTTATAAGAATTATCTGACAGGTGCTCTTGAATTCCATTAACCTTTAACATTTACACTGGAAAACCTAACTTCCAATTTTCTCTTAAATACAAAAACCAAAATTACCACAATGAACAGTAGAAAAATAAAAAGTTTGGATCATCCATTTTATGAGGTTTTGTTCTACAGCTGTTATTTTTATAGGGACATAAGATTGGAAACAAATACATGCAAGCTAAATTAGAATGAGTACAGTCTACCATGGTATTCATACCAAGCAAACCAGAAGTATGGCAAGTGTCCTCCTTGATATGCTTGTGGTGATGGTGCATGTAGTATGCAGTCAAGGTGAGTTGCAAGTCTGAGATTTTTCAGAGGGCTTTTTGATGATGCCGATGCAGTGCATGATGAAGTGTAGAGTCAGCCTGCTGGAGTCCTCTATCCTTCTGAGTGCCTTGTCCAACAAATGGGGGAAATCCTTTCCATGGAGAAGCAGTGTGCAAGTTTGAAGTTTGTAAGGAATAATCTGCACCAGTGTCCTCTCCTCCAAAGAGTGAGAGCTGCTTGGAGAAATGCAAGTCCTTGTACTGCAAACATGCTTGGATGTGTGGGCTCCTTGATGAACTAAATATTTCAACGTAACCAGCAGGGGGCACTAATGTTGAGTTATTCTTCTCCAGGATTACAAGATGCCTTTTACAACAGAGCTTCACCAACAATACTTGGCTTGAAATGACTAACACATCAGACAAGCTTACTGCTCATATATATATATATATGTATATATGAATACACACAGATTTAGAACAATATCCAAAACACTTACCTCGCCTCCCCAGATATGGTTTAGTATAGTCCCAGCTATCATTGTCGTTTTGAGTGACGTTCAGTCGAGTTGGCTGTTAAGATACAAACAGCAAGTCTTATTTGGTGCATTTATTTCAGAGGAATACAGAAATGTAAGAAAGTATGATAATTACCCTTGCATATTCAATTTTTAATGTACAGCACCCAGCATATATATCTGCTCCATTCAGGGCTGCTTTTGCCTTCTGGGCACAAAGAACTGATTCAAATGTAAGCCGTGTTAAGGATTTTTATTTCAACCAATATTGTCCTCTTCCTAAAACAATAAACCAAGCAACTACAAGAAACTTACTGTTAAGATTTAGGAGGAGTTTTCCTTGTTTGCACCCTCACAAGTACCCCTTTTTCACTACTCCAAGGTCCACTCTGAAGAGCTTCACTGCTCTCTAAGGCCTCCACTGAGATCTTAAAGGGGCTATGCTGTGGGTTGGTGAAAGGAAGAGTTAGCATCCTCTAAGATCTGCAGGAAGTTTATTCTCTCTACAGTATTAAATTGGATTCTTATTTATGTCTCACTTACTTATGGCTGTGCTGAAAATCTCAACAAAGAGATCACAGTTATTCAGGGAACAGCAATTTCCAGTTTCAACAGAAGCTCTTTTGATATACTGAGACAGACAAAGGAGTGTGGAATTTCACATTTATGATTAATTTCATGTATTTTACAAACAAGTTTCTTTTTTAAAAGTGTTCCGCATTTTAAGATGGATTGTTTATGTGTTCATGTGAGTACTGTATTCAAATGTACATCTCAATCTCTAAATTGCTTAGAGGGAGGAAAAACCAAGGATAACTGTTTCTCTGAGGCCCTGAAAGATTCCTAATGGCCACAAGATAACCCCCATAAAATAATTATCACCCAAAAAAGTCATTAAAAGGATATTCAACCATGGCTTGTATTCCATTCCTCTTGAATATGACAATGCGTTGCACTTTTCCAACAGGATTGCACACTGTATATAAGACATCCTGCAAAAGGAAAGGAAAATTACTCAGACATTTGACAAATACTCTCCAAAATATTATCTCTGGTTTACTAAGTAATTTGATATGAAGTTTCTGGATTTATTCCCATTATAGAACTGCTCTCCCCACCCTTCTAAGTAGTTACATAGGCCCTAAAGAAAAATGTGGTACTGGAAGACAGTACAATGCAAACAGAAAACACAGCTTCACAATTTACCTTCATGAACCATGTTGTACCATTGTGGTTTATTCATAAATATTTTGTGAATTTTGAGGTATCACTCTCAAAAATACATTTGAAAGTTAGTCTTTGAAATAATTCTTCAGAAGAAAAAAATCAATTTCCATTTGCTGATTATGAAATGTTACAAGATTCATACAATAACTAAAGACTAAAAGCAAAGACAATACACAGAAAGAAGTGAAATCTGAATTATGTGGAGACGCCTCACCATTTACAGTCCCAGTGAAATTGTGTATTGAAAGAAGGAAGCAATATCAATGCAGGTATAATTCCCATTAATTATCAGCTAGATGACAGGTTTGCTAAAACTATACAATTGGCAAAACTATTCACCAAGGTTTCTGGAGTAGAATTAAATTAGTATCTAACCTAAATAGCTCTATTGTTGCTGTGTATAAATGAAAAAAAAATCCTTTCTGAACTGTTTCGTTGTTGTGTGGAACAAATTATTTGGCAAACAAAAGGGAATATGTGATTATTTTTTGCCCTTTTGAAATTGAAATGCCATTGTATAAATACATGTCTATTAGTGCAAGAAGCAAGACAAAACACAACTGTCTCAGTGTGTGCAGACTTGTAAGAAAATACGATGCAGAAAGGTCATTTGAAATAACACTTAAAATAAGACTTACCACTGTAATTGGATATAGAGGATTCTGGATTGACAAGAGCAGAACTTTATTCCCTCCAGAGGGATCATCTGTATTTCCTGGACGAGTAATTCTTTTGCTTGTAGAGTAATTGAAAAATGCCTGTTGCCCAGCTATGTATACTGGCTCATCTGCTGCAAATGTCACACATTTCTTGGAACTTTCAATATCCTCAAATTCTACCAAAGCCTGCCGTTTGAATGGCATCATCATGACATAACTACAGAAGGGAATTTTTTTTAAAAAAGGCAATGTTAGCTCATCAATTGTTAAGTAGGTATTTGATCTAAAAGCTAAACCCACTATTATAGCATACAGCATACCATAGAATCGATGGAATTTAAGTGCCAACTTACCAAGTTTCCACTAATTTAATGGACCTGCTTCAGCTGGAATTAATACATGAATTTTATGTCCATTATTTTGCTTACTTGTGATTCAAAGAAATGTTGTTTTGTGTCTAAACTATGTAAATATAAACTGCATGTTGCTCAAGCATCTTTAGATACAATTAATATATTTATAAATTAATTTAATTCTACATATAAATGATGCCAGAACAAAAGATTCTTCAATTAAGTTAAATACAATGCAGTGAAAAGACTAACATATACAGCTTTTAAAAAAATCAGTATTAGATACAGAATACCTATATCCTGAGTAACTATAGTCTGATCTGGAATTGATCTCCATCATTCTGATATTTGCATGTTTTTTGTGCAAAGGAATGACAAGTGTCAATTACATACTGGCTGCAACAAATATATGAACAACCCTCCTTCAAAGTTATACAACCATGTTGCTCTAGGTAAGAAGCTCCCCATAGTTTTCCATTAATTTTAAAAAAATCAGTTTATTTAAAGTACAATGGATCTGAACAAGTATCCTATTACATCTTATGAAAGACTATTAACATTTTCCAAATAAGGAAGAAATAAGGAAGTGATTACGTGATGGAAGTCAACCTCAAACCATAATTTCACCACACACTGTTTTTTAGAAGCTATTAACTACAGTTTGGCAGTTCAGAGCTAAAATTAACTGTCAATTAAAACTTCATTACAGTCCAAAGACCCAATTTAGTCAATGGTAAAGGATGCACAACTGCAAACAGATTAATAAACTGATAGAACTAATTAAAAACTCTGGACAACAAGCAACACAAGATGCATATGAACAAGGGTAAGAACCCTGCAAATTGACTGATAAAATAAATTGTAGCTCTCTGATTTATTTCCCAGTTTATTGGGTGGGGGGAGCAATCTAATCTCATTCTCTAAATACAACCTTTGCCTTTTACCAGTACATTAAACAAAATTCTAAGAATGAAGTAATAAAAGTATTTAATACTGAGGCACAGCTTCCATGTAGGGGAAAAGTATAGTGATCTGCCTCCAAAACATATTTTTGAAATGTTTGACGGTTATATTGAATTTTTTAAATCAGCACAAGCATGTGAAGTCTTATGAAGTTTGTTATCATTCACTGAAAAGCTAATGCACAGTAAACATACCATATTGTTCCAAATTTTTCAAGAGCCTCCACAAGGTCTGCCTCAACAACTGATTCACAAAGCCCTCTGACATGGACAACAGGAGAAACGGACACTTTATGATGACTGCCACCTCCATCCTGACAAAAGAAATTCAATTTACTTGTAGTTCTCAAAGATCAAATAAAAGTGATTAAGGAATAAAACTCTCATGTTTATTCTCACTACATCTAAAATTTAAATTGGGATTTAAATTATCAGGAAACTTAGATATTGTAAACATCTGTCTTTTTTGGGTAGGGGAAAAACAAATATTATTCTTCATCTTCAGATAATATGAATGAGGACCAATTAAATAGTATTGTATTGTTGCTCTGTTTTAGGCACTTTGTGCCATACGTAAGCCTCCCCGAGTCAATTTGGGGAGATGGAGGCAGGGTACAAGAATAAAGTTATTAAAGTAGTTATTATTATTATTAACACATGACTACCTAGGAAGAATGACACATTTCTTTAGACAAAATTACACATACATCAGCTAAAACTTTCAGTGTCTTTCTAAATTTAGGCAACATGCAAAATTAACATTATTATTCTTACATTATTACTACATATTAGTAAAGTAATTGGTATATTAGAATACCACTTTACAGAAAATAGAAATTCTTTCTGAAACATTTTCTAAGAAGTGTTCCCAGTCAGAAATTTTAATATACTTTGTCTCTTAGGTTCACCATTGGTGAAAGAAAGATCAAACAATGTTTTCTTTCTTTCCTTACAAGAGTTTTATTCAATATTTTCATGGCCAAGGCACTTACACATTGAAAAACCCAGAAAGAGAAATCTTCAGTGCAACTGACAAATTTGGCAATTCAAAACATTACAGTTAACAAGGTTGTTTGAACTTAAGTCTTTGGAAAAGGTTATTTGAACACAGGTTATTTGAATGTAGTCTCCAATATAATCTTGCTAATTTATTTGAATTTATTTTCTTGTTTATAAATTTATCTGTAAATACTGAAATGAAACATATGTTAGTCATGACTATTTGCTCCAATAATTTTGATGGATTGATCTGAATATTATTTAATCCAAATCCAGCTCTGTAACCCAAGGCTGCATTATAAAAGATAGTAAAGTCTAGATGACTTGTCATAATGGTAAAAAGCCACACTTGGCTTTGAGAATACAAAACCACAGATCTCAACATGTGAAAATAAATCAGAACATATAACCTAAAAGAAAATATTTAAGATCCAATCTGATTTTCTAAACTGAAATTATTAAAAGGCTATTTCTTTTTCAATATCTTGTTGTGTGCCTACAAACATCTTACACAAATCTGTTAACTGTGCAATAATACCAATTAAACAAAGAATACATTGCTACTTTTGCACATATTGAAGTCTGCATGCCTCTGTCAATTTACCATGACCATGGTAATCTCATAGGATTGTTCTAGGTAAAGAATACTCATATAGCTTTCTTAGGGCCCTTCCATACAGCCCTATAGCCCAAAATATCAAGGCAGAAAAGTCCACAATATTATCTGCTTTGAACTGGGTTATCTGAGCAGATAATTTGGGATTTTGTGCGGGGCTGGATGAATGCAAAGCTGGGGTGAAAATTGCTGGAAGAAACATTAACAACCTCAGATATGCAGATGACACCACTCTGATGGCCGAAAGCGAGGAGGAGCTGAGGAGCCTTCTAATCAAGGTGAAAGAAGAAAGCGCAAAAGCCGGGTTGCAGCTAAACGTCAAAAAAACCAAGATTATGGCAACAAGAATGATTGACAACTGGAAAATAGAGGGAGAAACCGTGGAGGCCGTGACAGACTTTGTATTTCTAGGCGCAAAGATTACTGCAGATGCAGACTGTGGCCAGGAAATCAGAAGACGCTTACTTCTTGGGAGGAGAGCAATGTCCAATCTCGATAAAATAGTAAAGAGTAGAGACATCAGACTGGCAACAAAGATCCGCCTAGTCAAAGACATGGTATTCCCTGTAGTAACCTACGGATGTGAGAGCTGGACCTTAGGGAAGGCTGAGCGAAGGAAGATCGATGCTTTTGAGCTGTGGTGTTGGAGGAAAGTTCTGAGAGTGCCTTGGACTGCCAGAAGATCCAACCAGTCCATCCTCCAGGAAATAAAGCCCGACTGCTCACTGGAGGGAAGATACTAGAGACAAAGTTGAAGTACTTTGGCCACATCATGAGGAGACAGGAAAGCCTAGAGAAGACAATTATGCTGGGGAAAGTGGAAGGAAAAGGAAGAGGGGCCGACCAAGGGCAAGATGGATGGCATCCTTGAAGTGACTGGACTGACCTTGAGGGAGCTGGGGGTGGTAACGGCCGACAGGGAGCTCTGGTGTGGGCTGGTCCATGAGGTCACGAAGAGTCGGAGACGACTGAACGAATGAACAACAACAACAACATGTGTAAGGGGCCTTAGTTCCTTCCCTTGAAATACTGTATAGCAGTGGTTCTTAACTTATGGGCTGCATCTGGTCCGCAACCCTCTTCCTCTTTATTTATTTTATTTACATTTTATTTCCATTCCTTTCACGCCGCCTGCCATTCCTTCCCTGTCACTGACCATAGCATATGTTCTGTAGCATAAACTAGAACTGATGTGGTCTATCCAATGCAATTTCCTGAATCAGCACCCCAAACTGAATCTAAAGATGACCAAAAACTGATTCATAACCCTTTTGGTACTAATGTTAGAGAGTGGTCCCTGGTTAAAAAAAAAAAGGTTAGGAACCACTGCTGCATAGTGTATAGTACCTGGTATTCATTCACTGGCAGTCTCAGATCCAAGTACTAACCCAAGCTGATCCTGCTTAGTTTTCAAGAATAGATAGGATCTTCTCAGAGGTAGTGAGGTGTAATATTACTAATAATATTACAATATGGCATAGTACAATATAGTAATATATAATACTGATATTGTACTATGCTAATAATATAATATATTGTATGTATGTATGTATCTTGTAAGTCTCTCTGAGTCCCCTTCAGGGTGAGAAGGGCGGCTTATAATTGTCATAATAAATATATAATAAATACATTTTGGCCCATTCCTAACAGCATAAGCGGCTGAAGGGGGAAAGGAAGGGGCCTGACGCTGTTAGGAATGGTGGGAGTGGGAATCCAAAACACCTGGAGGTCCTCCCATACCTGAACCCGAGGCTGCAAGGCCCTCCGCTGCCCCACCCTCCTCCTCCTCCTTCCCGGCTCACCCCTCCACTGGAGCCCCCGGCGCGAGGGGCGGCCTTCTCGATATAAGATGTGATGTATTAGAATACTGGAAATATTCCTGGCCTTCATTATGAATAACAACAATTTGGCCTTGTCTTTTCTCCTTGTCTGCCTCTTCCAGAAACCTCCTCACCTGATTCACCATGCCACCTTGTTCCATCACAATCAGGAGTCGCTGCCTCCAACACTTTCTCCGCACACTGCATTCCCAACCGCATCTCTCCCTCCACTTTTCATCATGCTGTCTCCTTTCCTTTCTTCTTTTTCTCTTTCTTTCCCCCCTTCCTTTTTCTTTCTTTCTTCCTTCCCTCCTTCCTTCCCTCTTCTTTCCCCCCTCCCCCTTCTTCCTTCCCTTTTTCCTTCCTTCCTTCTCCTTTTCTTCTTCTCTTTTTTCTTCCTCTTTTTTTTTTTTTTTTCTTTTTCTCTTTTCTTTTTTCTTTATTTTTCTTCCCTTCCTCTCCCTTCCCTCCCTCTTTCCTCCTCCTCCTCTTTCCTTCTCTCCTTCTCTTTTTTCTTTTCTTTCTTTTTTTTTCTTTCCTTCTCCCTTTTTCTTTCTTTTCCTCTCCTCCCCTCCTTTTCTTTTTCCTCCTTCTCTTTTCTCCTCTCTCCCCCCTTTCCTTTCCTCCCCTCCTTTTTCTTCCCCTCTTTCTTCCTTTCATCTTCCTTCCCTCTT